ACTAAATTGGATTTTATAAGTTTATAGCTATGTTTTGTTTCTTTTACAGAACTATAATCCTGGTGCTTAGAGTGGTCTAAAAGGAACAGAAACACTTAGCCTTGAACTTTTGTTCTGCCGCTGCTTCTTGTGCCTCTGAGGTACAAAACATACCTATAAACTTACAATCAACCAAACTGATGTTCAAGGGCTAAAAAGAGAAACCCAAAAAGGGCATAGGCTTCATGTTCAATAGTGAGAGACTTGGGGTGGGCAAACCAGAAGATTGCAGTTGGCAATCAGCAGGTTTTTGGAGACCCGCGTCCCAGGTAGGTTGGTATGAACCAGCTGATTTCTTTCTCCTTTTTTTTCTTCTCACCCTTGTTCTCCCCCCAAAATACCCTCTTGGAGCGCTGGCAGGCTGGGCTGTCTGTAAAGGTCCATTTTTGGCATTCGCAAGCATAATAAGCGCAGGATCACCCTGGTGCACCTGGAAAAGGATGGATGTGGTTACCCCAGCGGCATGTGAGGGGCACAGCAGGAGCTGGCTCTGCACAGGGTGAAATCCAGATAACTTGGCCTTTCCTCCCCATGCAGCCAATCCTATACGTATGCAGTTTATAGTGTTACGGACAGACAAACCCCTGCCTTCCCCCAGCCCCATCCTCACCAACTGCGTGGCCTTTGTTGGAAGCCCCGAGTCCCCCCCATCAGCAAGAGCTGGGGGAGGGTTGACTTCAAACTCCACTGAAGAGTAGAGGCACAATGCAAACAAAAGTACTGCAGAACGCAGCTATGCAAATAGCTTCAGAGCACAGCACGTTTTCCCCAGCGTTAATTGCTGCACCACCGGGGTTGCATAGCAACAGCTCCGCTTGTGTCTCTGACAGCTCCTGCCCCTTGATGCCTCTGACACCTTCTGCGGCAGGCGGGGAAGGAGGAGAGAGCAGGGCTGCCCTCGGAAAAGCCAGGAGGTAGTGAGGGGCTCAGGTGATAAGATTTGCTTGAGATGCTGAGGTGTCTTCTGCTGACACAGGGCTGGGAGCGGGGTGTTGGGGTGCAGAAGCAGAGGAGCCCCCAGCAGCCCCAGCCTTATGTAGACAGCTTCCAAGGCTGGCGGCCAGAAAGGGCAGAGCTGCCATCTCCCAGGCTTCGCAGGAGAGCTCACTGACAGGGGGTTGTCTCGCCCATCCTTTCTGGGTACCCCTCAAGGGTTTGTTACTCCGCTTGCAGCTGGGCTACAGGCATAGAAGGTCCCGATAAGTCGCCTCACCTCAGCCGTGAAGCTGCACTAGGCTTGTGGCTTCTCCAGCCCTTGAGAGAGATGACACATTCCTCATGCACACCCAAAACCAAGAGCCTCAAGCCAAGCCCCATGGGAAGGGGTGAGTGTGGACATCAGGAGAAGGCTGCAGCCCTGGGCTCCCTCACTTGTCTGGTGAGCCCAGCAGCTTCTGCCAGGCTGGGCTGTGGCTCCTGAAAGGCAGGCTCTTCACAGACAGGGGTGGCTGCCTCCCAGGAGCAATTTATCCTCCTGTTTAAAGCCACTCTCCCAGTTCCCGTCCTCAGCATTCACCAGTCAGTCTTCAACTCCTGCTGTGCCCTCGCAAGCAGGTCTGAGGGGCCCAGCACCTTCTCCCAGGAAAACACTTCAGCTCTGCAATCAGCTCACCTCTCCTCTCTGATAAGCCACATAAATAGATAGTGTCTCTACAACAGTTTACACAGTCCATAAACAACCCTGCCTGAAGTCATAGGGCACTTGAAATAAACTAATCTATTACACCTGAGTGTGAAGAAAGCTCTTCTCTGAAACTGCCTTGAGTAGGGAGAATGTGGGCAAGCCTGTATCCATCAGCCGCTAGGCAAAAGAATGGCCATGGACACTTTTGATTTAATGGTAATAACCAGGACAGACAGGAAAGGTGGGAAGTGCTGTGCAGGTACAAGGCACATGGATCAGCAGGTCCCAGGGAGCACAGAGCTGTGCCTGGGAGATCTGGGGATGAAGAGGCACAGGCTGCGGCTCAGTGGCCCAGGGGGCACAGGGAGAGGAAGGACCAAGCTGGGATCCAGCTGTGCTTGGAGCCTCGGTGCAGGTGGTGGGAGAGCTCTGCCTCAAGGTTATCCTTTGAAACCCAAAAGAAGGCGGTGCTGCCTGCGGCACCCAGATAGGGGTGGACTGGGGATGGAGCAGATGAGCTCAAGGTGAGAAGTTGCCCATCTTTGAGCCAAAGTGACATGAGTGCAGAGGATGCTGAACACGATACACCTGCAGAAGCAGGTGAACTGTGTCACTGAACATGAGATGGGTCTTCTAAGGACAAAGGGCATTGAGGCTGAATGGATTTATTTCCGTTCACAAGCAGGAAAATTCTTTATCTCTGTTTTTTAAATTTACAACTTGACGAGCTGATTGAGTCCTTGGAGTACGGTGGGGCAGATAAGGTGAAAATGAGCACCACGGCCTCAGTCACACTTCACAGGAAGAAACTAGGTGAAGGCAAGGCACAAATGCCACCCTTTAGGACCAGGGAGCCCAGGTTCCCGCTGCCATATGCACAGTACGTGGGCCTTCTCCAGCCCCGTGCAGGCGTGCAAAGCAGGCGCAACCTGCGACCGGCTGCATTCGGCATTGCTGCCACAAGGCAAGAAAGAACCATGCCTAGTCACTTTGATCCCTTTTCCCAAACTAGGGACTCGGTGCATGGACCCAAAATCTCCTCCCTCGCCAGCCTCTGGCTCGCCTTTTCTTCCTCACCACTCACCCAGGCATCCACTTCTCCTATGCCATGGGCTCTTCCTTCGCAGCCATTTGTGTGTAGCACCTGAAAGTACCCTGCAAGGAGTAATTTGGTTTTTATGCCACCGTAACCACTTCCCGAAGCTGCCTGGGAGAGCAGTGGTGGGGTGGGCCGGGAAGGGGCCACACCTCTGCTGCCGCCCTTATAAATTCAGGCTGGCTGGGGGAAGATGGCTGCCGCTCTTAGGAGCTGGGCTTGAGAGCAGGTAAGAGGAAAGCAACCGCCCTCTGCAAAGGTGGAAAAAAAGTTGTGCTGGGCTCTGCCTCTTGGAAGAGCCCCCTGCTCCAAGCCCTCCTCTTCAGGGTGGGGGTGAAAGGGTTTTATTATCCCCTTTGTTATTCAGCAGGGCAAGGGGAGGAGCTGGGCTGTGTAAGAGATCCTGGCTGACATAACCCTTCCCGTGCAGGCCTCTGGAGAGGGGCCAGGTTGTACCTGAGCGTTTTTATTTAAACTAATCCCAGGCATTGCAAGTTGAAAGTCATCTCAGCGCCAGGTAGAACCAATTGAGACGGTTGCCGGAGGGCATTTTCCTTGCCTGGGTGTAGTAAAGCAGTCTGGAGGTACGTTGTTTATTGCTAACCCTGGGAGTGTATGTTCTGGAGGTGCTGGAGCACTTTTGGTGAGCACAGCTCGCTCAGCCTTTCCAGGTGGTTTTGGGAAAACCTTGCCCAAGAAGCCTTTAAGGAAACTTAGCAGCCGTGATTGAAAGGCAAAGCCTTGTTACGCTTAAAAATTTGGGCAAACTGGAAAGCAAAGGGCTTCACATGCTCAGGGCAGGCTTGGCTGCAGCCTGGCATTTCTGAGTGAACAGGAGACCAGATGTGCCCTGGCCAACCTGGGGCCTCAAATGGCCCCTGAGCACCTTTCCCTGCCCTTTGCCGAGTTTGGGAGCCAGGGAAAGTGGGTATATGGCACTTGTCAGCTCAGAGCAAGCAGTGAGTGAGCAGCAGTGAGGGCTGCCCAGGGCTGCCTCCCGCACGGCTGGCTCCAGCTTTCCCTCCTCGTCTCCATCAGGCTCTTCCTTGCTGTGCACCTGTGGAGCCCTGTGCCTTGCAATGTGGGAAGGAAAAGCCCAGTCTAGATAAAGCTGCTTTTTCCCACTCTCGTCCCAGACCCTGCGATAAGCATTGCCCGCCTTGACCTAGCTGAGCGAGCAAGGTCAGTGTCCAATGCTGGGGGAGAAACAGGGCTGCAGTGGGGAGGAAACGACTTTCACTCCTCTGGGACAAGGCCAGGAGGTGCAAAGTGCAACTGTTACTGCAAAGCGACCCGGCGCTGCTGACAAAGATCCTGTGCCAGGCAGAGTGGGTGCCGAGGCACGCAGGCCCCTTGATGTGGTGGGGACTGGGTGGGAATTGCCTGCGCTGCCGTTGGGCACAGATACGGTCTCGATAACAGCACCTGGCATGGCACTTCTGACAAGTTCATGCAAACAGTGGGTAATTATCCCCTAACCTCTCTGCCAGTAAGTCCTAATTAATTGTCTCTGCTGAGCAGGTAAATGATAACAGCCTTGGTTTGGGAGCGAGCCAGTGGCAGTGACCCTGTGCTGCAGGAGCACAGCTTTCTGAGCCACCACTGCACATTGACAGCCCGTCAGCTGCAGAGCCACTTTATTAAATGGCTGTGCAGGTCCTGTGTGCAGTCTTCCTGGGGGGTCCCAAAAGAGCTGGGCTTTCTACATGGGACACTGTGCAGATACGAAGTTTGATTCTCACTGGGAAATTTAGGTTTGCTGTGAACATGACACATGGTGCCTACACACCAGGGTGTCCTAGGCAGAAGAGTAATGATGGGTGTTCTGGCAGTGGGAGACAAACAAAAGTGCAGTCTGTGTCCTGCCAGCAGTGTGCATACATAGGTGTGCATGCTGGGGACTGAAGGGATACCTGCCAGCCCCATCACGGGGGGCTTGATCTCACTTGAAGGTCAGACAAGCGATGCGCCTGAGTGGGAGGAGAAGGGTTATTCCAGTATTGAAACATAAACTTTTATTTTCTGGAACACGTTACTGATTGCTTCTCTCTTTGTCTCTCTAGTGAGGATGCAGCAGAGGCAATAGCAATAGACTCTAACAATCAGCCGAAGTCTCCACTGGAAAAGTTTATGGTCAGACTGTGTACACATCACCAGAAGCAATTCATTCGTGTGCTAAACGACATATACACTGAAGCACAACCAGACTCTGAAGGCCAGCAGTTGTCTGAATCCGAGAGCATGGAGGCCTCTACTTGTGGCTCTGGTTGTAGCCAGCGAAGCACTGAAAATCAGGATAAGGGTGCTACTTGTACTGAATCAAAGCCCCTTTCTTCCTCGGACCCAGGACAGTCGGCGTCCGATGGCCCCCTGCATGTGACAGGACAGGTCCTGAAGCAGCCAATGGAGCTAAAGTCTCTGGACAGAGCAGAGAACTCGAGTCCTGCTTTGAGGAAGGACTCCTCCGAGCTCCCCATCACCAGGCTCCATTCCGCTAGTCCAAAGGATAGCTCCACCCAAGGATACCTCAGCACATTGAACTCTTCCTCTTTGAATTTCCATCATGCTGCCAGGAGCCTGGAAGGACAGCAAGCCGCTGGACACGAGCAAGAAGCTGGTGTCAGAAAGAGTGAGGACAATAAAGAGCAGCTAGCAGGTAAGACTCTCGTGGAAGGTTATATCTCGGTCAAAGTGGCAAATGTGAATGGCAGCGAGGACAGCTTGGACAGCTGTCTGGGGTCCCAAAAGAGCTCTTTCAGAGCTCTGCCGGAAGAGTCCTGGGATCCTGGCTTTGCGGTGGGTCCCCCTCGCAGAGCCGACAAAGAGAACACTTTGCAATGCAGCTCAAAAGCATCTTTGCACCAGGACTTAGACGCAAAAGAACAAGATGCGAGACCAAAGCAAGAAAACCACCTGCATGCCGCAGCCAAGGGCAAGGCCGGCTGCCACCTGCACCCGGCTGACAAAGGCCCGCTCGACAAGGCCATCCCTGCCGGTGCCCCGCCAGCCACCCACCGGACCCCCGGTGGGCACCCCCGTGCCAAGGCAGCCTCCCTCAGATCCACTCGCAAGAGCAAGAAGGCGTCGGGGCTGCGGATCAATGACTATGACAACCAGTGCGACGTGGTCTACATCAGCCAGCCCATCACCGAGTGCCATTTTGAGACCCAGCGGTCGGTCTCATCCCGCAAGACAGCGAGGAAGAGCACCCGCGGGTACTACTTCAACGGGGAGTGCTGCGAGCTCCCGACTGTCCGCACGCTGGTGAAGAGCTCCCGGGTGGAGGAGAGGGGGAGCAGCCCGGCACTGCGAACAGAGACCCTCGTGAGCTCTAAGCCACCCCTTGTGCTCTCGGTGGGGGGGTCTGGGGGTGCAGGACGGGAAGGCGAGAAGAGGGTTTCCCTGAGGCTCATGGCGAAAGGGGCACCAACCAGTCGAGAAACGAAAGAGAGAGCTGAGCTGGGCTCTCTGCATCCCTGGGACACCCGGGCACTGCGGTCAAGGGAAGCCACCATGGCCATGCCCTTCTTCTCCCTCTCTGCTCCACCCAGCCCCCAGAAAGAGGACAGCTTGGCCGGCTTGCCACCTCCCGTCTCCCCTTCTGCCGAAGGAGGGGGGACGAGAGTGGGAGGCACCGTCCCCTGCGAGGCTGGCAGCAGCCTGGGCTCCTGCGGCAGCGGCGGGCAGGCGGTTGATTTTGCTGCCCTTCCCGTCTCAGAAGCACCCAGTGGGGAGGAAGCTTGTCCAGGCTCCGAGGTACAAACTGATCTGGACCTTTCCGCCAGCCTGGAGCTGAAGTCCCCTTTGCAGCCCTCCTCCGCTGCAGACACAGCACCCCTGGCCTACGATGGTGCCGGGGATCCTGCCCAGCTTCCAGACGTAGGGGATGCAGAAGCCTGCGGGCTGTGTCAGGCAGAGCCCTCCCCACACTCTCCAGGCTGGCAGGTTCCCGATGAGCCCTCTGCCACCGTCGATGGGGAGAGCCCCCCAGAGCCCCCTGCTACCTTGCAGTGTGTAGATGTGAACAAAAGCATTGATGCTGAACACGAAGCTGAGTTTTCAGGTATGGTGGGTGACAGCTCTATTGAGCAAGAGGAGGCTGTGCCTGCCAGCACAGACCTCCCCGAAATCTTGGAAGGGGAGGCAATGCAGAATATCAGCCCACCAGGTGAAAAAGACCCTAATGAAGGGAAAACACCACCTGAACCCAACAGCTCAGACACCGCAGGGAAAGACTTTGTCTCTTCCAATGACAGTCTAGACAAGAAGCGAAAGAAGGGCAAGAGAGTGCTTGTGGCATCAGACCGGTGTCTTCGAAGCCAGCAGTCCCAGTCACCCACCGAGGGCAGTGCTGAGGACACTGGTTCTTCCAGCTCTGTGCAGCTTACTTGCCTTCAGATCAAACTCTCCAAGAGCCCTGGAGCCAAGCGGTTTAAGAAGGAAGTGCACCTGGATGGGGCAGCATCCATGCACTTCCCAAACGACTGCTTCCCTGATGCGCTGCTCAAAACCAGCGAGGGGCCGGGCACCAGCCAGGCTCTAGAGAGCATCACTGAGCAGCGGCCGGGCGAGGAGAACGGTGTCACTACCAGACAAACCTATAAAAGCATCTCTGCAAAAGAGACTGTGGCTGAAGAAGAAAATTCCTCTAAAGACAATGCCCCTGCTAACAGCAGCCAAAGTCAACTGTGTGAGATGCTGGAAATCAGTGTCCAGGCTGGTTCCGAGGAGCAAAGCCTTCTCCTCCCTCTGGAGAGCAGTGTGCCTGCAAGTGATGCCGAGCAAGTGGATGTGAAACCAGGCAATGCCAGTGTGAAGGATGAGGAGAGCTCCGACAGTGCCATGGACACGGACAAGCTGGAGAGCTGTGAGTTGTTGGCCAGTTCACCTCTGTGTCCCAGCAGCAGAGGTGGAAGCAAGCATCTTCCAGCAAAAGCTGCAAAGCATAAAAAGGTTGCCTTGCAGTTTTATAACTTGAGACATGCACCTGTAGACACCGCAAAAAAGAGCACACCAGGGAAGGAGTCTATGCAAGCGATCCCCAAACAGAGGGAGGAGTGCAGTTCAGGGAATGATGAATCCCCAACTTTGGAGGACATTGACATAGCTGACAGCAAACCGAAGTTCATGGAGTGGTGTGCTGAAGAGGAGAACCAGGAGCTCATTGCTGAGTTCAACACCCAGTACATGAAGGTTCAGAAGGGCTGGATTCAACTGGAGAAGGAGGTGCAGCCAACCCCCAAGGTAAAGAACAAAGCCGACAAACTGAAAGAGATTTGGAAAAGCAAGAAAAGGACACGGAAAAGTAGAGGGTCGCTGGAAGTGCAGAAGCTTTCTCCTGTCCAGATGCTATTTATGAAGGCCTTTAAGCTGTCTGACATCTGCCAGTGGTTTCTGGAGACGACCGAAACCAGGTCTCTAGTGATCGTGAAGAAACTCAACACGCGTCTCCCAGGGGAGATCCCCCCCATCAAAGTCCCCATGCAGAAATATTCCTCCTCCAGTCTTTATCCCAGCTCGCTGCAAGCTGAACGTTTGAAAAAACACCTCAAGAAGTTTGCTGCCACTACCCCAGCTCGGAATAACCTGAAGAACCAAAAGCTTTGGGCCAAAATTCGGGAGAATGCTGACAAAGCGGAGAATGAAGAAGCCACCGCTCCCAGCCAGACATCTCCCTCCGATGCCAGCCCCGAAGACCTGAGCGAAGACAGAACCATCCAGCCTGCCCCCAGCCTGCCCACGCAGGCCAGCACCAGGATCCTGCGCAAGTACTCCCACCTGCGGGGCAAGCTGCGGGCCCAGCACCGCGCGCTGAAGACGGAAAAGAGAAGTGATGGCCCGGGGGACCACCTGTCCCTGGAGA